ACGTTCGAGTTTTTTTAGCAAATGGAGAATGAGCTAACAAAGTTCAAGTCTTTTTCTACTTGATAAAAAACATTATAAAAGCTAACAAAGTTCTCACACGGCTAAATAAATTCAACCAATCGAGAATCCCTAAATCAAATGCACAACTCTCCTATATGCAGCAATAATAGTTAAAATTAGATTAGAAACTTTATATTATGTAGGTGTTAGCATTGTGTTAATTGCTAATATTGTATACTTGTATGTTAGGATCTCATATCACAACAGCTCAATAAGGCAATTTAACAATATATTCCGTTGTATAAGATTTATCAGTATTGTACCTATATTTAAATTAGTGTTCGACCAACTCAAATGTCTAAAAATGAGAAACTAACGTAAATCCCCAAACACTTATTTTTACCGCTCGTATATTCTCTACCATATAGTGATGATAATCTTCTTCTTTTTTTCTTTAATAGCAAAGACTTGGTAAACTGGAATATGTAACTTTCATTACACAATATTTAATATCATAAGTTTAGAAAAAAAAAATATCATATAAATAAAAACAAAAGAGATGCATTGACCAGTAAACGATCGAGAGAACCGAAGGGACAGGAAATCATCGAAGTCAAGTCTTTCTATCTAAGATCATGCTTGATGCAATCACCATTTGTCGCTACCTACATAGTATTTATTTTCATAATCACTCCATCTCCATCCATCTAAAATATTAATATTGTTGTACTTTCATGAATTATGAGAACGTTCTTTTGGAACTTAACAAACATGTTGGTTATTAGTATATGATAAAGTTGAGTTTTCTAACAAATTAAAAGTTTTTTTATGTTCATCGTTCAATTGATTGAGCTTGTAAATTCGCATTTTATACAAATACAATTTCTTGTATCGGATTGTTACCGGTCTAAAATATATATGGTTCGAAAGTTTAAAATTTTTCTTTTAAAATTACAGTATTTTGATCACCAGTAAAATCTATTGAAAAATAATTAATTTGAGAAGTTTTGTTAAATTCTAAGTAGGCCAGATTACTCACGTAGTCACGTTCAAGAAAAACTAGCCCTAAACCCAAAATCAATATCAAGATAACATTCAAATGTGAAGTTGTGAACACAAATATAAAATGTGTACTTAAATTTAATTACTAGTTATACAAATACTTCCTCAACACTCAAAATGATTTACACACTGCCCAATTTATTTTATCGAAATTATTAAGTACTAAAACATATTAAACCTTAGAAGTCAACGTCAACGACTAGCAAGAAATTACATATCCTCCGGATATATATAAAGTACCCTTAACCTTAATCCTAATGCCTATGCAATGAAATACACAAATATAGAGACTAAAAAAAATTACAAGAAAAGAAAATACGATGAACAACAGCAACTCTATAGCGGACCAGTGGTTACAACACCAAAGTCAAGAGATAACTCCGTGCTTCAACGCCAATAACATGACCTCATCATCAGGATCTACCCTCGAAAACGGTGGTGCCGCGGCGTATGAAGCCGGCGGAAGGAGATCTAGGGCTTCTAGGAGAGCCATACCAACAACTCTCTTAAACGCAAACCCTAGCAACTTCCGAGCTCTAGTTCAAAAGTTCACCGGACGTTCTGCGGGTGGTGAATCCAACCGTAGAAAAGGTCCGGTGACTTTGGACTTTGGATCTCCTACTACAGTCTCTAAAGAAGCAATCTTTCCAGTATCCTGCGACCGAAGTCATCATGATCCTGCGTTTAACCGGCACGTGAGTAACGAACAGCATCACGTGACTTGGTCAGGTTCGGATCAAGCAACTACGTCATATCAGTTAATCGATGAAAGTAGCTCGGCGTTTGAGCAAGATCATGGTCTTTTAAGGGAATATTCTGAGAATAGTAGTTTTGATGGTTTGGAACAAATGGATTATTATCATGATTTTCATCGTGAGACGGCAACTTTGGAGGAGTTTATGATGAGAGATCTTGATTTATAATATAGTTGTGT